TTGTGTTCATTTTGTACCATCAGTGCTCATGAAACTCTGAAAGGTGTTGTGGCTAAATAAGGTAGGACTCTGTCAAAGTACAACAAAATGTAGCTTTAATAAATACCTACAGTTAAAGGTGTTTATTTCTGAAGTGAGAAATATAAACAAGGGTACAGCACGTGGAGGCTTGAACGTGAGATATGTAATTACAAAAAAAAAAAAAAAAATCACTCTGAGTGTGAAACCGATTAGAAACAAGACGTTCTACTTGACTTTTACTTTTCAAAACACACGTTTGGAGAACTCTCTAGGCATATTCGCAGGTTGTCTTTGGCACTTGTTTAACTCGGGTTCCTATGAAAGCTGAAACGCCATGAATCAGAGATCAGGACGCAGCTTGTTAAGGCCACCCTCACAGCCTTACTTTGATTATGGTGCTTTTCCAAACAGCCTGCTGATTTGATCAATATTCTTGCCATAGAAGCAGAAAAGTGTGGTTGCAGACCGGAGCTCCGAATATAACCTCAGTGTAACATAATCAAATTTAATTGTCTCATAAAACTATCAGATAAACTTTATTGATCCTGGCACATTCAATCGGGTCACTGCAGGGATTGGGAGAGATTTAAAGGTCTTTGCTGGATGCCAGAAAATAAATCTTTTAAATGTCTCGTTCGTTCGTGGAGGACAGACACATATTTTTATTTGACCTATTTACAGTTCGCCTTCCACTGCAATATAAAGGAGGATCATTTTTGGTCCCTCCATCTTGTTATGCTGTATTTGCTTTATTACTTGAAAAAAATAAATAAAAACAATTTTTAGATTTTGAACGTCTGCAGAACCTTTGGTCACATTTATATGTAAACGCTTTAAATGCAGTAAAATTAAGAGAAAACATTTTCCAGACTTGGAAAAAGGCACATTTTGGGCAAATAAAGATGAACTTCTTTGTCCTTGTGATTGATTTTTTTTAGTGCCTCTTTTGGTGTCGTTAATACATATAGTAACGGTAGCCTAATTTTCTCAATAGTTCTACAGTATGCTCGCAAATATGCCTCTGTTGGTCAATTACTCAAAAATAATCAAGCCATGATGGTGTGTACTTTAACGCACCGTGATGGTGTGCATGGCTGATTCATGGCATCACCAAATCAAAAGTGATATAGGGTAAAAATCAGAGGTGTTTATGTGTAGTAGTATGCAAAGTTTACCCTTAATAATATTGATAATAATAATAACTTTTATTTATAATGCACTTTACATTCACAATGGATCTCAAAGTGAGTGAACATCAGATAACATCAAGATAAAAAGCAACCGAGAGGAGTAACAACCAGGAGGATAATGCCTCAGAAAGATCACATCAAAAACTTAAAATGCACAAAATGCAGGTAAAATACTCAAATAAGAACTATGAGTGCAATAAAAAACAAAAGTTTACTGTTCTCGGCCTCGTAAACTTCACCTTGACCCAAGACTGACATGAATATGACTAAACAAAATCCATGTAGTTACATATACTGCAAGTGCTACATAAGTTTTAACTTCCTAGGACAAACTGGCATCCACATATGCATGTCATGCAAGAGTTCGGGTCTTAGGAGGTTAAACCACTTCAAAAATAAAAGCAGATGCATTGATTCTGTGTGGTTACATTTATTTATGACTATTTATTATATATCGTATTTTTCGGACTGTAAGACACACTTAAAATCCTTTAATTTTCTCAAAAATCGACAGTGCCTTATAATCAGGTGCACCTTATGTATTAATTCTGGTTGTGTTACTGACCTCGAACTGATTTTATGTGGTTATTATGAATGAGTTGTATAAAGTTTGACTTATCCGACTGCTTTGTTTCACTTAATGCACCTTCTAGTCTGAAAAGTACGGTATTTATTTTACTGTCATCCCTGTTGTGTAGTAGTATCACTCAGCAGTGACGCCTACAGATTAAGAGGACAACTGCAGTGACAGCATCGTGTCTAAATGTATAAACAGCAAGTTTGCTAATGTTCCAAATCAATCACTTCATGAACTTCACCATTATCTTGGCTCTGCGCTGAAAATGTGTTAGTTATCTCTGTCATAATGATGGTCTACCCAGAGTGAACAGACTGAGAACAGCAGACTCAAAACCCTTTAGAATATAAAGTGATTTATTTACAGTGAAATAATGAAATGTACTATATACAGTGGGCACGTCCTGGAAACCCTGGAAGGGAAGGAGAGACGTCAGAAGCTACATGGAGCAGTTAGATAATGCAGGTAGTAGATTTCTTACACAGAACGATGGCCGCATAGAGAGGAAGGCTGGAGGTTTCCAGGACAAAGCAGGACCCAATGGAATGAGCAAGTTGGAACATGGCGGCAAGGGGTTGGAAGGCGTTGGAGCAGTTGGAGAAGATCCAGAAGGAATGTTTGTAACTCATAGGCAGGCACAGAGGTCGAGGATTCGAGGACGGTCACTGAGGTCCAGGACAGGAGACTCAGGAACCAGGTTCTGTGCGAAGGCAAGGAGAACAACAAGGTAAGCTTAAGGATTAACACGAGGAGGCAGAAAGTGGAAATACCAGAAAGTAAGTAATGCTCCAGCAGGGAAGGAAGCTCTTCTGCAGCATCTTATAGTCCTGGCTCTCACTTACTGGGATGAGTCTTAGCTGTGGGTAGTTAACTCCGCCTCTTGACTGCAGGAAGAGCTGGAAACACTACAATCTCGTTTATTAGGTTGTTTTCATAACAATTATTGCAAATAAACCTGTCAGAATCCTTTTGTTGACTATTTAATAACATACAGAGCTTTCCAACAATGTTCAGTCAGGTCATCTGGATGATTTCTTTTTTTGCTGAGACATTTCGTCCTTCATCCAAAGAACTTCCTCAATCCGAGAAGCCACCAAATACAAATGATTCCCACAAACACCATACTGCATAGTGGGGGGGGGGAAAAAAATAAAATTGCTGGTGCTAAAATGGCCTCTGGGGCCTGCCGTCTCCTTCGGGGCCTGCCCTCTGAGACAGTCATGCCAAGTGGTTCAAAACACCAAAGTTCATGCTCAATAATCAACGGTGTTTTGAAACCTTTGGTATACGGAGCTTTAAATAAAAGTCAAGTTGCTGTGCATGACTCCTACAACTTACTGACTGCGTACACCATACATACTTTTTTTTTTATATCTCATGATTGTGTCACAATCTGTTTTCTTGCTCACACACTGCTTAGACTCCGACTACCTTCTTTGTTGGCAAAACAGCATTGGATCTTCTTCATTCACCCATTTCACTTTCATTTTACAAATGTTCTGTACTGCAGGTTTTACTCTAAAGGAATTAGCTATCCTTAAAAAGTACTACTTTCTGACTTTGGTCCTTTTTCAAAGGAAAATATCTTCCATGTTTTTTGGTTCGGTGTCTATTTCATGCCATCAAAACAGAAACTGTCAGCTAAAGAACTCTCCAAATGGCCATGTTAAAAACTTTAGTTGAAATGCATCGTTATTCCACCAGGTGTAACCTTTCAACTTTAAATAAAAACGCTACTTGACGGACAGAAATAATGCGTCTAATATTCATTTCCATTGGATTCTGGATGTCCTGCTCCTTTTCTCTTGGTAATGAAAGTGAATTAGGATGGCATGTCTGCAACGTAGTTATTATACATTTAGCCACTTTTTCAGGCTCCAGTTTTGTATCATAAAAATTCTTGATGAGATTTTGTGTATTTTTCTGCTGCCAAATGTACCACTCGATCCTTTAGCTTTACCTGTGCTTTTTGGAACTAATCTGGTTTAGTTTAATTATTTGCTCTTTTCAACAACATCAGCTGCCTGCTGAAGCTTGAAATGGCCCTGATGTCAACGGTGACAGTGAACCGAAACAATGACCTTCAAATAGCCGAATGTTATGAATCATTACCATCAGCAACGAAGAGTTTTTGACTATTCGTAAAAACAATGTTGAATTGCACAGCGTTACGTGTGTAAAGCAATAGACTATAACAAATGTTTAAAAGCAGGAAAGTATCAGATGTCCGTGTTGATTGATTGACTGGTGCCACTTTATCAAAAGAGAATTGGATGATTTATATGAAAAAAACTCTGTTTTTCTTTTTAGCTTTACAAATATCCTGCATGATTCATGGCTGAGTCATTAAACGTGACATTTTGTTCCTATTTTTACAAAATATTCCTCATAGAAAAGGTTTGTTTGTGAAAATGTGATGTGGCTTATTATACATTAGAATTATTTTGCTAATTCCCCGGGAAGACAAAAATAAACTGTGCGATGTGGGAGAAAGGATAATGCCTTTTTGTAAATTACCTGAAAAAAATAAATAAATAAAAGGCTTTTCAGAAAGCTCTTTTATTAGTCGACTGTCTGTGGGCTATGGGGAAAAAAGGATTCTCTGCGGCAGAAGAAAAGTGCTCAACTGCTTTTCAGCTTTTGTGTGATACAAGGCTGGGAACTGTAGTTTGGATGTAATAGATGGCCGTTCGTTGTTATTGAAGCTATTCTGGATCATTACAAGCACAGAGCACAGAAAAAGCACCAAGAGCACGCTTGAAATAAAAGTAGAGCATTAGCACAGATGGGTGATGGTAATAAATTGGGATTTTTCTGTGTAGTATGTATATTTTCATACCTTTAAAAGCAATATGATGTAAATATGGCATTGGGAATTTCAGTTTCGCTTCAAATTGTTTGTTTAATCAGTTTAACTATTTACTGATGGACGTGGTAGCTTGGTGGTCAGTGCCGCAGTCTCATAATCACGAGGCTACGGGTTTAAGCCCATAATGCATCAGAAAGAGCATCCGACATAAAACAGTTACCATTTTTTTGTTTGAGTTTGCTCACTGTCAGGGAAAGTTTGGTCAAGGTTTATGGATGTTTTTCAACTATGTCTGAGAATGTTAACTGCCCATGAACCGTGTGTTTGAGTTAGCAGACAGAGCTGAACGAGGAGCTGGTTTGATACTGCATGTGCAGCTCTGAACTCCGAGGTTGCCTCCGAGTCTGTAAACTGGGAAGCTGAGGTCGCCGTGACCTCCAGTAGCTGAAAAGCCTTATAAAAGTACTTCTTGCATACTGTCCGGGGCAGATCATTGTGACTGGGTTTCAAGCATGTGACTTTGTACAGTAGGCCCTCGCTACTTCACGGTTCGACTTTTGTGGACTCGCTCTTTCATGTTTTTTTCAACGATTGTCAACTTTACTCAGGTGATTGGGACGGTAGAGGATAAAAAGGTAAAAAAAAAAAAAAAAAACTTTGGACAGGCGCTGCCATTTTGTAGTTTTATTTCAATAAGTATATACTGCAATGCCAGTCAAAAAATAACTACACTACCCAGAAACCAACAGTTCTTCCAGCCACTGCTTTCTGCCAAAATGGAGGGAAAGTTTTGCAACACAAATCTACATGATCTATTAAGCTCAGAGAACTGGCAGGAAAGTTGCAAATAATCCTGAAGCTGAACTCATCCTTCAAGTTATATCTTCACTGCTGAATGCCTGGACTGCAGTTGATCCAGACTCAGTGTGACCCGGATCCTGGGGGCTGCAGGGAACAGACCGTGGCGGGGTCCGGCTTGGTTCTGGTGGTGTGGTGCTGGTCCGGACCGGGCCCAAGTGGTGAACTACATCCTGAGTACCTACCTTCCTGTAGCAACAGCACATGCACATCAGCCTGAACAGGGCATTGGGCTTCGTTATGCTGCAGGGTGGCCAAACCGGAACCAAGCTTCTGCAGAACTGGTGAGTACCCATATAAATTTTTGCAGTACTGTACAGTACATATACATATGTTGTTAAAATTCTGTATGTTTAAGAGTTTCGAAAATTGCAAGAGTGTGGGAAGGGTCTATGAAGCTTTAAAATATGTAAATACTAAAATAAATACAGTAGTCCCTCGTTTATTGCAGAGGATTCGTACCCTGAAGCCCCACAATAAGTGAAAAACCTTGAAGTGGGAATAGTAGTATGCAGTAGTTTATTATATAATATATATTTTTTGTTAGTTTTTTTGTTCTAAGGCATTTAAAACCCTTCCCATACTTTTCAATATTATAAACAATGTTTCTAAACTCTAAACGCTCTAAAAAGACAGAATGTCATGATTTCAGCTCCCTGCCTCAGCTGCTCTCAGTCACCTGCAAGCGCTTTTGGCCACGCCCACTTCCCCGCTCTGCACGGAGAACAGCTGATCAGCTGCAGCAGGGAATTTATCCTGCAGTATGGTCTGCACAAAGATGCAGGAGGTGCTAAATAATTCAAAATAATTGATTTTAAATCAAAATTCCATGCCGATCGTGCGGATCATCCATCAATCAGCCAATTGCGTGTCATGTTCAATCTCATTTTGAAAAACCGTGATAGAGCGAGTCCGCGAAAAACAAACTGCGAAGTAACGAGGCACTACTGTATAGCGTTCCTACTTGGCGGTTTTTCACCTATCGCGCTGATGAGTGGAACGTAACCCCCGCGATAATCGAGGGACTACTGTACATCTGTGTAAGCCTGTTGTGACTATCTGTCCTTGCAAGTACAACTGTGCTAAAAAATCTTCTCCTGTCATCGTGTGTGGCTCCTTTGAGTAAGCTAAATAATGCAAGGATATTTTTTATCTAACACTCGCATAGGGGAGCAGCTGAAAGAAAAACACAAACAATCTGTTTACTGTTTACTCAAAGAAACATCTGATTATTTGAATCTGCCCTTACTTAGGCACTTGTTTGCATTTCATACTTTTATTTTTTTGGCTTTTGGGAAATTTTTTACAAATAATGTGCCCTCTCATTCAGTCTGGTTGTGTTTGTGTGCGTTCAGTAAGTGGCTGATGTTCACTCACGGCCCGTAAATCCAAGACGTAAGTGAAACCATCAGAGCGAGTAGAATAACGAGTCCTGCACCTTGTGCCTGGTGTGCGTGAAGACAAATCGTGTGCCATTTGTCTTGTGTAACAGGCTGGACTTATCTCTTTTATTCTCCTCTCAGTCCGCACATGCAGACTGATCCAAAAAGGGCTGTGTTATCTGACAGAGGGGAGAAATGAACTCTGAACGATCAGAAAATGAAAAACGATTGCTTTAGATTAACTCTCATTAATTAAGTCAGCCAGCCTCCTAACCAGCCCATCGACTGCACATGAATTGACTGCGTGATTAACTCAGCTCTGTGTGTAGATATAAAGTGTGTATGAATTAGAAAAGGGCATGTTATCATTAATGCAACAAGAGATTTTATCTTGTTGTTTATATATATATATATATATATATATATATATATATATATATAGTCATTTATTTCTAATGAAATTATTTCTAATGAAAAAGATATGAACCCTGATTTGCTTTTTGTCTTTTATATGTGCATACATGTTTGATGAGCTTTTCGTGTCTACCAGTACATAAGAAAGTGGATGTCCTTCACAACGTGCATAATTAGTAACACAGGACAGTGCATCCAAGCAAAGCTAAAGGACAGTGGAAAAGGCTCATATGAAAATACAAGAGGAGGATATTGGAAATGTGGTGAGGCAGGTAAGAAGAAAGAGAAATCAGTGCATAAACGATCGCACAGTTTGCAAGAAATAACATTTATTTAAAAAGAGATTAAATGATGTCACAGGTGTATAAGTGGTTAGAACAAAGGAGGAGCTGGAACAATTTCACACAAAGATGAGATTCAGAGGACAGGTTTCAGAAAAGCTTCCATTTCGCAGCGGTGTGAGTGCTGCAGGTATGTGCTGTTAAGGCATTACAAGGAGCGATTCACTTGATTGCGCATTAGTCCCACTGTGACGGGGACTACGTGTTTTATTTAGCAGCTTCACTCCAGAAGGACGGACGTTTGTTTGTTCTCCAGCCTGCTGCGTGCTCAGGGTTACAGATGTGTGCTTCTGTAACACATCTGCTAATGGACGACGAAGCAATCATCAATCGTGTCAGCCTCCTTCCTGACTCCTGGCACTGATGTTATAATCACCCACCCTTTTATAAAGAAATGTAATCTTTGTAAGTTCTCAAAAGGCTTAGGTTACGTTGTAAAAAATGACTCTAAAATAATGTATGAATGTAAAATAGCTGCAGCTCTCACTTAGTTTATAAACCACAATAAAATTTTATACATTTGTCCTCTTTAAATTGACATAAGCCTAAAAGAGCAAGACAAACTTTAAATTATCAGTACTGACATATAACATTTATTACAACCTGAGTATTGCCTTATACGCAAAGCCAAAGTGACATAACAGCTGCAGTCAATCCAGAAACTGCCTGCTCCCATCCTGTCAGAAATTCACTAATTCCTACTTAATGATCACTAATTTACCAAAAAGATACTTTCTCACCTTACGGGCGGATAAGTAATACACAAAAAAATTGCAGTATGATGTAACGTATAATTTCATATATCATGCCTTAAAGTGTCCACAGCTTCAGACAATCAGGAGCCATTTTGTTGTTGTTTCAGTTGAAAATATGAAGCTGAATCACATTTATTATTCACCTTAGTGAACTAGTACCCTCAGTGTAGGTTTAGTTGTAAGTAGTGCATACTGGTGCGTCTACAATCATTAGAATATTGTAAAGTATAAATATATAACCCTAACCCTGTCTATTACGGTGCAATAAGATTCATAACTGGCTGTAATTACCACACCCACCACTGCACCCTGTATTCACTGGTTAACTGGACATCATTAACTTCACGCAGACTCTCCCACTGGTACATTTTCATCTTTAAATTACTTCTTGGTCTGCTGCCTTCATACATCTCCTTCTACTCTGCATGAGTGCAGCTACAGCGTGCACTGTCAGGGCATTACTACCTGCAGTGTTCCCTCAGTGAGGACTGAACTTGGCAAAAGGGCCTTCTCCTACTCCGCTCCTGTTTCCTGGAATATCTTGCAAAAAGATCTGAAGTTCTCGACCTTGACCTCTCTAAGTGGCTTTAAGAATCTGCTGGACTCCTGGCAAGGACCAATGCAAACATGTTCCTGTTTTTAGTAGGGATGCGGCCTATCCGATCCAGTATCCGTATCGGCCTCCGATACCAGCATAATTTACGTAGCGGATTTTTCCGATCCAACCTGCAAAGATTTCCGATCCATGATGCATGTTGGCTTCAAACTATGGAATGGATTTCCTGAACGGTGGCGTGTCTCATGAACCCAGAGTAATAAGACCCGCCTCATATTCAGGAAATCCATTTCATAGTTTGCAGCCAGCTACAACGTGAGGACTGAGTTAGCAGCACTGTGGCTAAGAGCTAACCAACTTTTCATCTAAACATGTCCGCTGTGTGGAAGTATTTTACACTAGAAACACCACAAAACAAGACAGCAACGTTCAATGTCTGCAGAGCCATAGAACCACATTAAACCACGTTAAAGTTAGTTTTACGTTGGACATTCGAGCTCCGTGGCTTCAGCGGGGCGCTACTCTTGCTCAACCCAAAACAGACAACTCGACCTCGGTCAGCCGCACTCATTCTCCCCGTCTCCGAGGAGGCGCAGACTGAGCGCGGCTGCCCCAAATCAGGCCGCCTGCTTCGGATTGAACAAGAAGAAGACGTCGCTGAAGCCACAGAGCTCGAATGTTTACCGAGAAGTTGCTAAACTTCATCATAATTAATGACCAACCACTTTCAGTTGTAGAAAACGAAGGATTTTGCAGCTTGATACTTGCAGCCAAGATATAGTTTACCCTCCAGGAGATATTTATCAGTACAACAGTAGACAATCATAAAAAAATATATGATTTGAAAATTACAAGAAAATTTTATATA